CCCTTGACATGGCAAACTCATAGATCGAAACTTGAAACAAGCTCTTGGCTGATATAAATTCGGGCTACTCTAACTCACAGATCCAATGATTGGAAAACGATATTTGGCCTGAGTAATTACAAGTATTCACTTTACACTTATCACACAAATTAAACTATATCTTTTTTTTAAAGATAAAGATGGCTGTGATCATGATTGGAAATTGCTTGATGATTCTTGCTATAAATTGTTTGGAAGGTCGGCTGCTAGAGATAAAGATAAAGCAAATAAACAATGTCAAGATAATAGTGCTTCGTTGACATCAGTAAACACCAAGCAAGAGAATGATATGTTGAGAGCAATGCTGAAACAACAACAACAACAACAACACTCTCGAGATACAGTTAATAAAGTATTAATTGGCCTTAAATACGATGTTAGCAGTAAGAAGTTTGTTCACATCGATAATACTCCAGTTATCTTCAGTGCTTGGATAAAACCAAGAAAACCACTTTCCAACGACTTTTGTTTCACCCTACAAAAGAATGGATCCTGGTCTGAAAGTCAATGTGGACTGAAACACAATTACTACTCTTGTGAAAAAAGAGGTTAGTCAGTATGATAGGAATCAATTATCCCACTCGTCGCAAGGTGCTAATCATTTTTGTACATTTTTGCTTACTTGTTTTTAGTCTTGTCAAGAAACATACCATATAAGGAATGCAGCCTTCCAGTGGGATTGAAAAATCAAAGCATGGTGAATATCAGTGCCTCCACACAAGACGCGAATTTTATCGCTAACAGTGCTCGACTGTACGGAAATTCGGGATGGGTGCCAGAGAATGGAGACAGCCAGCCATGGATTGAGGTTAAGATCGTTAATTTAACATCAAAATACAATTACACAATTACTAAAACATTTGATATTTTCCTATCAAGCTCGATTAAAGAAAGACAAATTGAAAATTCATCTAAAAAAACTTTAAAAATGGGAGGAAAGCTCAAGTAGTGCGCTTTTTGCCTTTCAATATTATGGAAAGCATTTAGCCTAATATACTGAAGAAATAGAAAACGCGGGCGCACGCGCCACCATCCAATTAGTCCAGGACTGGACCCACTTTTCACAATAAGCCTTTTCATAGTTTAAGAATCGATYCCACTGCGCATGCGATTTTATCCCGAATTTCTCACCTTCTTTTGTTTAATTAAGAACAAAAGAAGGTTTAGACAAAGGAAGGTGAGAAATTCGGGATAAAATCGCATGCGCAGTKGAATCGATTCTTAAACTATGAAAAGGCTTATAGCGCAGCGCAACCGTGACGTCATAAAAACGAAGACAAAGGCGAAATTCGGACAAACAAACTTACAAGTTTACTTTCAGCAGATAATTTTCACAGCCGATCGTAGTTGATCTTAGTTTACATGGGTTATTATTGTAACTTTAAGTAAAAATAATAAAATCGGTTCGTATWATCCTTGTAGCGGTTAAACAGAATGCAATGTTTGTCCGAATCTTTAAGCTATTTTTAGAATCAGTGCGCTGCGCTATTGTGTTTATTGTTTTGCGCGCGCAATGATCCTCTGTGCTTTGATTCTAAAAAAATGATTGATTTTATCGCGTCCCGATCAAGATCTTCTTCTCATATTTTTACCGCGCGCGCGCAGATAAAAGTGGGTCCAGTTCTGGACTACCATCCAATCACAACGCGAGATTCATAACATGTGATTTATAATTCGTAATATACTTTAAACAATAAAGTAATGATACTCAGCTGAAATACATAGTATTATAAGCGGCTTTTTATGACATTATTTTTTGCTGTTTCAACTCATAGATCAGCTTTGAGTCACCCTTTCTCGTCACTGCTTTTGCAACTCAGGGGATTGAAAATAGACAATGGGTTGCTAGATTTTCCTTATCTTTTGTACTTTATGACAAGCGATATGTCAACTTTACAAACCCAAGACGACAAATCGTGGTGAGTATTATTAACGATTTTCCAAACTACGTATCAGACAACCAGCTATAGACGACGTTTACGTAAAGGTGTGTCGCTCATTTGCATACATTGTTTGAAATCTTTGTAATTTGTATTTGACAATTGATTGTTTTTGAATTCGTACAATACCGCTGTGTTTCTTGATTACAGACATTGCATTAGTCAGGGTAAGCCTCATTTCAGCATTACAATATATATTCACAAAAAATAAATGCACAATTTCGACATTAGAATTAAGTAACACTTCTAAATTATACGGACCTTGATTAAAGCAGGTGAATGTTGTACGCAAAATCGAGGATAACCCGTTTCTGAACGTTTCAGATATTCTTGCTATTCACTGAACGTTAGTTTACACACCCTCATGACACCGTGATAGCATGCTGTTTTAATTGTTTTGATTAACAGAAAAGGGAGAATGATTTGTTGGTATTGGTACTTGTGTTTTTTGTGATAGTATTTTGAAGGCAACAGGGATGCCCATAATGTAGCCTACAACAGGCTACCGTACCCAATTATCGCAAAGACTGTTCGTCTTGTGCCAGAGGAAACTCAAAGCATTGGACTGAGAATGGAATTCTATGGCTGTCAATCAAAAGGTACGTAGATTAAGAGGTGGAAAAAATTGAAATATCCTATTTTATTGATTGAGGTGATAATAACCGGAAACTAGTCAATAGTCCCCTTCACAGTTCCCTGCGCCATCTTCAAAGGTAGCCGTACCTTTGCATCGAAGGGAGACGAACGGTGAGCTTGCAATGATAGAGAAGTGAATAATTGTCCAAGGTGTTAAAAAAGGTCTCTATCATTCCAGGCTCACCGTTCGTCTCACTTCGATGCAAAGGTACGGCTACCTTTCAAGATGGTGCAGAAAACTGCGAAAATGACATTTGTGTCCAGTCACGTAGGCTTGAGTTGGTTGACGACAACGTTTTTTGTATTGCCTGAAAATACCCACCCACTCAAAAACTCAACCCCGTTGAAATAAATGCTCGACTCTATATACTCATTATCAAGAGTGATGATTGAAACAAAAGTTAAGATTTCCCATTTTTGTAAACTAGAAGCCTATGTGAATTGTAGCCAGCCCCTTGGACTAGAAACGTCTGCTGTCCCCGATGAGCTTATGACAGGCTCGAGCCACCATCCCAGTAGCCCGCCACACAATGCACGTCTCAACATTGACCTGGACTCTCAGTTTAGCTGCTGGTCACCGAGTATTCATGATACAGACCAATGGCTGCAGATTGATTTTAGAAGTAACAGGAATCGGGTTACAGCGATTGCAACCCAAGGTCGAGGGGACGATGAGGTTGAAGAGTGGGTGACTAAATACGCACTGAGCTATGCACAATATGGAAACCATATCTTCACTTACTACAAAGAAAACAATTTAAGAAAGGTAAATTTTTAACAACATTTTATATGCGCGCTGTTTTGCTAATACAATACCAACAATTCTTACTACAAAGAAAATAATCTAAGAAAGGTAAATTTTTAACAACATTTTATATGTGCGCTGTTTTGCTAATACAATACCAACAATCTTACAAGCAGTCCCCTTCACAGATCCCTGCGCCATCTTGAAAGGTAGCAGTGCTTTTGGATTGAAACGAGACGAACGGTGAGCTTGCGACGATAGAGATGTAAATAATTGTTTAAGGTGTTAAAAAGGTTTCTATCATTGCAAGCTCACCGGTTGTCTTGTTTCGATGCAAAGGCACGGCTACCTTTCAAGATGGCGCAGAGAACTGCTTCACCACGACTCTCAAGTATGTACTCTTCGATTGCAAGAATATCTAATGGATCTTTATTATTTCTTTGTAGAATTTCCGCGGAAATTCAGACAAAGCCACGGTGGTCAAAAATACACTCGATCCAGCGATTGTTGTCTTCGCCTTGCGAATTCATCCACTTGAATGGAAAAACAATATCTCTATGAGACTGGAGGTCTATGGATGTCAAGGTAGACCACAATTTCCTAGTGAACCAAGTTTTATTGAAAACTGAAACAATCTCTGGGCTGATCTAAGTCAGGGCATGGCTAACTCACAGATAAAACCCTGAAACAACCTCTGGGCTGATCAAAGTCAGGGCGTGGCTAACTCACAGATCAAACCCTGAAACAACCTCTGGGCTGATCTAAGTCAGGGCGTGGCTAACTCACAGATAAAACCCTGAAACAACCTCTGGGCTGATCAAAGTCAGGGCGTGGGTAACTCACAGATAAAGCCCTGAAACAACCTCTGGGCTAATCAAAGTCAGGGCGTGGCTAACTCACAGATAAAACCCTGAAACAACCTCTGGGCTGATCTAAGTCATCAGGGCGTGGCTAACTCACAGATCGACATAAAATTAAATTTTCATAATTAATCGCTTAAAAGTTTTTTAAGCTGCACATAATAGGTTTTATTCGTTTGTTTGGTATAATTTTCTTTAGCAAACGATAGTTACACAGCGTGGGGTAACTGGTCTGATTGCAATGCTTGGTGTAACGGACTTCAAAATCGCACTCGACACTGTAAGAGTTCATATCCACATGATTGTCTAGGTCCTTTGGTTGAATCAAGACGATGCAACATTTCGAATTGTTTCTCTTCCTGGACTAATTGGACTGAATGTAATCAAACCTGTGGTTCTGGTGTTAGGAACAGAACAAAATACTACCTTGGAGATTTCTCTAACAAAACGTGTAATGGAAGCATAACCGAAATAGGAGAATGTAATACAGATTCATGCGATGCTTGGAGTACCTGTAATATGACCTGTGGAATTGGCTTTAAGAAACGTTATATAAATTGTAATGATTCCAGTCAGCCAAGCAGCTGTGAAACACAAGTGCACCAATGCAACCGAACTACCAAGCCAGGCATTGTCGACTCAAACTGGTCGTATTGGAGTGACTGTAAATCAACTTGTGGTGGTATTTACTACCAAGAACGCTCGAGATCATCGATGAGTAACAATAACAACCTTGTATATAATCCAGAAGTAGAGAGCAGAGAGTGCGTCTATCTGTGCAATGAAAGTTGTATCTGCACTTGGAGTAACTGGACCGACTGTAATGCTACTTGTGGTGGCGGCGCTCGAACTCGTCTGTTTAACTGTTCCTACACATCCTCTGGGTTGGTTAACTGTTCGGGATCGATTCATGACACCATGGTATGCAATAACTTCTCTTGCCCAGGTAATTATTAGTAATTATTAGTAATTATTAGTAGTTATCATAATGTTAGCAAGTACAATCGTAATGATAATGATATTAATAATCAAAGCACTCTGGCCGGAGTCCATCGTACAATAGAAACTGCCACCCAAAACGGGAACTAATAGTATTTTTTAAAGTGTTTGTCCTTGTTTTTTTCAGTCAATGGTAGCTTTACTGAGTGGAGCAACTGGACCGATTGTACAGCGACATGTGGTAATGGTACACGACAGCGCATGCGTAATTGTACCAGCCCAC